GTAGATGTGCTGCTGTTCAACAGTCATCAGGAGTTCCAGGTACACCACGGACCAACACGCTTTGATAGTGGGGAATGTACTGATATTCGTACAGGAAACACTCAACTTCTGGAAACAACTGTCACACGTTCTCAAATACTTCCGCGCGGAAGAGGATCCCAAGGCCCGGCTACCAAGCAACTTCATCAACGGCTTCTTGGAGGTACGCTTACTCTTTGCGTCAATACTCTCGCGGAATCATATGCTAATAGGCGTGTATAGGGTCGGAACTGATTTGTCCATTACTACCAATGTCCGGGGACAACCAAGAACAAAATTCGGTGTATATAGCTGAAGACAATACCATTTTCCTTTCCTTTCGCCAGTTGATCATGCTATCCTTGAACGCCAGCAATGCAATAATTTCGTAACTATAGGCGCGTTACGGCCCTACTCTTCCATCTTGTTCACAAAGTCATCGCGTGCAATTGTGAACTTCTGCTCGACGACATCACACATGGCCATGAGGTCTTCAAGGCCCTTCTCCAGCACGGTGTATACGCTGACGCCATCTAGTTAAGTGTTAGTTGCCAGATTAACGTAGTTTCGCATGCATGACCTACCGTATGTCTGGATGCGCAAGTTCATCTTGGCTTCTGAAGGATGCGGAATGGAGTAACCACAGAACTCGACATCGGGGCTATCGAGCCATTAGCTGTTTACTCATCTATGCGCCGAGACGTTTGGCTTACTTTTTGTGGATGATGTATCTCAGCGCGTTGCCTAGCGTGTGGTCCTCGCCATCAAACTGGAAAGATGCTGCCGTCTCTGTCGCACCGGACAGCTAGGGCAAATTAGATACGCGTTTTTCTATATCATTCAGATCGTACGTACGACTCTGATCCTGTCGCGATCGATCGCCGGATCAATCTCCTCGTTGTTCTCGGAGGTAGGATCCAAGATTGGGACCTGCGTGGGTTCTTCTGTTGCGCCTGGCATTTTGGCCTTGTTCCTTGCTCTTAAGTTAATGAATAGCCGATGTCGGTTGAGAGATAATGCGTTTATGTGACTGCGTCTGAATGACGATCCTGTGTTCGAGACGTGACTTTGCGATATCAAAATTTTGGGGCGGACTTTGGTTCGGCGATTCGTTGGTTGGCCAGACTTTTCCAGCCCTATATTGCTTGGCGCCATGACGTGGGGCGTGGGGAAGCCCCTCTGCATCCGCTTCAACTTTTTGTCCCTCGACTTTACCACCATCATTGACCGCTCTACAAGCTCCCAACACCCCCCCGGAAGCCAGCCGAGATCAACCTTACGCACACGATCGTCACCATGCCGCGCGCCTGCTGCCTCAACCGCGATACGAACGAGACGAAGATCCAAGTCTCGATAAACATCGATGGCGGCGACCTCTCACCCTACGAGCACAGCGACTTCTGGGCAGCCTACGACAAGAAGAGTCTCAATGGCGATGGCGAGAAGGTAGACAAGGACCACGCTACCCAGAAGTCGACATCTCAGGAGATTTCTGTCGACACCGGCATTGGCTTCCTCGACCACATGATCCACGCCATGGCCAAGCACGCCGGCTGGAGTCTGCGCATACGGTGCAAGGGCGACCTGCACATTGACGACCACCACACGAGCGAAGACACCTTCTTGGCGCTAGGCACAGCCTTCAAGAATGCGCTGCAGGGAAGCACGGGTCTGGCCCGCTTTGGACACGCATACGCACCGCTCGACGAGGCGCTGTCACGGGCTGTCATCGACCTGTCGAACAGGCCATATAGCATCATTGATTTGGGTCTTAAGCGGGAGAAGATTGGCGATTTGAGCTGCGAGATGATCCCGCACTGCCTCCAAAGCTTTGCGCAGGCGTCGGGCACCACCCTCCACGTTGACTGCATACGCGGTGACAACGATCACCACAGGGCAGAGAGTGCCTTCAAGGCGCTTGCAGTCGCTATCAGGCATGCGACAACCGTGGTGAAGCAGTGGGAGGGTGAGGTTAGGAGTACAAAGGGCGTGCTGTATTGAAGTTAGGCAGGCTATGAAAGAATTTGTCAGCGTAACCCTGCAACCATGCCGTGAAGCCACACAAGCTACTACCAAGGGTACAACAGCTGTTAGAACCGCCATGTCAATCTATCTGTGTACTAACACGTATATCGTTGGGTTGTTGAGTCATTACCCAATTGAACCCGTCTTCACCGTGCTCTACAGTCCATATGCTACAGCCACGTATTGACGCGGCAAGATCCTAGAACTGGGGGTTTAGATTCTACTCCCCAGCTCTTATAGGCGAAGGTGCTGTGAAGACTGTGAAATTCGATACTTATCATATAGCGTATAGCATGCACATGCATACCGACTTGCCAGCAGTATCTTCATACCGTACTGCATCTGCTACAAACTGTGCTGAATCGTGAAAGCTTTTACAGCCTGTACATGTATTGAATAGACTACAAGCCCGTTCGAAAAGTTGACTATCAGGAACCACATCGTCGCTTCGAACATCGTCTCCTCCCATCCAACTCAGTTTGATTCAGACGCGACGCCAACCTTGATTCGCGCGATTCGAAAGTAAACATCATGTTGTCAGGGCAAGTTTATTGCGCCTCTCTCCCCTGCCATCTCGTAAACCGTATTTGCTGTGCGCAAGTAGTACCATTACAACCTGCTCTTGCTCAGGTACTGATGGTAGCCACTCTGGTGCCGGTGTGTTTTCTCTCTCTGAACATCCAACCCCTGTCATTAGATGAAATAAAACTGCGGCAGCGCTAAGTTGGAAAGTTACAGTCGCTCGATCTGGTACTTCCTGTTGATAGCCCGTTCCAGAACCTGTGAATGAAGGAACGATTCGATCAACCTTCTCAATTCGCTCGCTCATAGTATAGCCAAGCCAATCCCAAGTTACATGTATATCGGCTCCATACTGAACGAGCAGAGCTATCGTACGATTGAATATATCTTGCCACTGGTAAGGATCGAAGAGATACGAAACGAGTGAGTTTTCCAAAAAGCACCTCCACGGGGTTGTGCCTTGAAAAGGTTCATTTAGATCAGCGCCATGCTCGAGTAGCATTCTCATCACTTGGTAATTTCGATACCTTGACGGGTCCGTCGGAAAACTCAAAAGTAGAGATACTAGCAGAGGTGGCCAGGCTTTTGTTTTGTCCGTGGCCAGGTCCGGATTCTGCCGCAACATAAGCGACACATACTTGGGTGCTGAATAGGCGACAGCCACGGCGAAAATGTCGGGATTGAACTCTTTAGAGACAGAGCTCATGATGATAGCCTAGAGATTCATCTCCTGTGCGAGTGGGAAATTGAGGAAATCGTCAAGTTTGGACCAGTGTGCTTTCATCTGCTCTTCCTCTGCCTGTTCCATAATTGGCACTAACTTGTGCAGTAGAGCGCGGATATTTCTTTCCACATCATTTGAATCTTTCTTCCCGAAGTGAATGCCGCTATCTTGAATCGAACGAAGCGTCCATGCGATAGATACCTCCGCCTTGAGAGTGGCCATCAATGCTTGGGCATAAAGCTCAGGCATTTCGAATGCCATACCGGCTTCGGTCGTGATCTGGTGTCTCATATCATTTCTGTCAAGGAGTTCTGCCATAGATCTGTGTGCTAGTCCGACACATTCGTTTCTCAGCTTTGACATCTCGTGCTGGACTCCACGAAACTCATCGCTCTGATGGTCCCATCGGGCCCTGAATTCTAACAGCCCTCTACTGCGCGCGTGGAATCTTCTACGAACTGTGGCCGCAAACAATACCATGTCTTCACCGTTCATGAACTGTTGAAGGCTCGGGGCATCTAATATCTGTTTGCGACTTTCATCGTCCAAGTAATGGTGTGTAAGGAGTGTCTGCTGTTCGGGAATTGTGCATAGTAAGAGTGAGCGGGCGGTGTTTCTGCGATACTCAGGCTCAATAGTTGACAGTATGTGCATGTACATTTCATCCAATTCGCGGGGAAGACGCATCAGCCGCCCTTGGAGGTCAGAAACCCGGTCCGCGTTAGTCAATCCGTTAAACAAAGAATTGCATGCGAGGTAGACCCTTAGGAAAACTCCTTCTGCAGCGGAGGTGATATCTGCGATGAGGTTTGCATAGCCAGAATCCTGTAATACGAGTTGCGCAAACGCAGGGTGTTTGCTCAGTGTATCTTCGGTATACGTTCTGATGTCCCTTGAGGTCAAGTCGTGTACGGGTATGCAGAAGTCTCTATCCTTTCCCAAATGAATCTCAAACTCATTTAGGGGCAGACTAGCTACGCAAAGCTTTGCTGAGGGACATGCCTGTATAGCGCGAAGCAGACGTAGCAAGTCCTGTACATCCGGTGCCGAACTGTTGAGTACCTCTACACGGTCGTCAAATTCGTCGAGACCATCGATGATGAACAGCAGGAAGATGTTGAAGCTCGGCGCCAAGTTCAAAAGATCCTGAAAACTGCTCCACAGAATGTCCTGTGGAAATCGAAAATCTGTTCCGGCGTGCGTCCATTCGCGTCGGGGGAAGACTTTTGGAACGAGCTGAGGGCATTCCTTAAGAGCCTGGTAGAGTATTGATTGCAACAATCCCCTGAATGACCGTTGCAGAATCGTTCCTTGCCTCCAGAGGTAACAGTCGATGACAAGCAATGAGCGCGATCCCAGCCAGGATTGACAGTGCAATCTCATATCCGGGTGAGTAGCAATGAACTGAACGATGCGAGTATGGGAAGTTAGTGTACGAACCGGACGTTCGATATGTTCATAAACATACCTTGATCAAAGTACTTTTCCCAGCGCCAGGTTTCCCGTACACCCAAAACACGTTTCTGCTAGGATCGTCCAGCCGTAACCATTTCTTGAACTTGCTCTTGTGAATAGATTCAGACAGGTCACCAGCCCCATCGAATATCCAACCAAACGTGTCCTCATGCGCTCGCTTTACTTGATCGGCTCTACTCCGGATTTCTGGGAAGTAGAGTGCGTATAGACACTGCCTATTCGCCTGGGCTCCTTGTTAATCTTTGAGCCATCGCTGTAACTCTCTAACGAGCTCTGATGTAGCATTCGCGGTGTACGAGTTGTTTTCAGTTACTTTATAAACCCTGCTCAGGTGCTGCTCGATGATCTTCATATCATGATCTATCGAGAGATTGTGTGACGCTAATTTATCGCCAAGGTAATCCACATTGCGATCTATGTTCGGGATACGGGTCGTGACAATGTGTGTCTTGAGCTCTTCTGATAGTCGGTCAACTTTCGCCTGAGACTCGTACAGCTGGCGCTGCTTGCGCCATGCTTTGAATGCTACAGCCGAGGCACGAAGGAAGGTTCGGGGTCCTTTCAGTCGAAGCGAATCCAAGAGGGCTATGTGCTCGTTTATAGCGACCTCGCTTTGAACAGCAAGACTCTGGAGGATATCGCCGTTGTAGTTTTGCTGCAGGTCCGCAACATCTCGACGTAGGATCTCCACAGCTGCACGTAGATCTTCGTGGTCTTTGGGTAAGCCGTTGCGAGAAGTTTGGATCTCCTTCGCGGTTGCGATGATCTTTCGAGAGAGTTCGGCAATTTGTATAACATTGCACGCCAACGAGAAGGCAGCCACACCCTCCATAGAGAAGCGACAGTAATGCTGGTTCAAAAGTGGGAAGAACAATAGAGTTGTTTTGTGAATGTGCCGGTGTCTGGCAGGGATTTTCCACTGACATGACAGATGCCCTCTTGCCACTCACATGACAGCTGATCAGCAGCTGAGATGAGATTGTGGCTGCGGCACAGCATGAGGGGTCGGCATGTCAAGCGTTATGATACGACAACAATCCTTGCAAGCTGCATAGTCCTCCAGCCTGTCTGCTAATATAGATAGGTTCGTACTTTCTGACCTGTACCGCTACGCAACGCACTGCTAGCTTCGCGATTCCTAGCCATATGCTGGTGAGATCAGATATGCTAACAAGTAAGTGGACCCTCTTTCGTTCGAGTATCGCGTCAATAAGCACGAGCTGCTTGCGGCGACACGTTGCCGGCGATGTCATCGCACACTTCTCCGACTTTGTTAATGTCTAGAGTCTGCAGAAGGCGCGCTGATACCTATGCGGTTTAGGAATCGGGAATAAGAGAAAAGAGGAAGTCGCAATGCGACGCAGTCAAGGTTGCATGCAGGACTATCTGGAGGAGAGACCACACTGAACCCGCGCTAGTCCAAATGAGACCCGGCATGGAAGCCGCATCAATGAACGATTTAGCTTAGCCTCTTCAATGCTTCGAAGGGAACTCATCCTTACCATTATTCACACGTGATGAAACAAAGGACTCCGTTTCAAGATGGACTCTATGGGACGTGGTGTCGGAGGTGAAGACGGTAGAAAGGTTATCAAAGCTTAGAGAACCGTGGCTGGTCCGTTTAACGATCAGCCTGAGCTTCTGGTCACGGATGGAACGATACTCGAAAAGCTGATGTTGTACTTTCATTGTGCTCAAGGATATCTTTAGTGGCTCAATGACGCCTGCAATGCAATAATACCTGTGTAAATCCAGGCTAATGTACAGAATAATAATGCTCAAAACCTGGTAGATATACGTGAGATGGGTGTGATCGAGTGGTGGAGCAGGAGAAACATACCTTATCTCATAATTACCCGCTCTCGTCATGTAACGCACCCACTTTACACTGCTGTAGTTGCTCTTCTCAAACACCTTCAAGTATCGCACAAGTAGCCCCGAACTGGTGAACATCAACAAAGAGAAGCTCAGATTGAGCGGTGGTCGGGACCACGCCTTCTGGTTGGTCATGCTGGTCAGGCTGGCCTCAGCACTCAGCACAAACTCGCTTTGCCCTGTGAATCTCGGTATCTTCCAGACGATGTTGTTGTGCTCCGGTTCGTACTTGGCTTTGCCTTGTGACGTCCGCTCGGTAATGCGCGCCGTGTTGAGGGGTGTTGGTATCCGCACGACAACATTTGTCGCAAAAAGTTTGGAGCCATAGTTGGCGCGAATGGCGATGCTGTATTCGACCTTGGTCTTGCCAACTTCGTTGACAATGGCGTGCACCTTGAAAGGCAGGTTTACGTTCTCCGTCGCTCGGTAGCGCATCAGCTCGAACTCGCCGTCGGGCGGAACAAAGGATATTATCCTGTCCGCATCGAACTTGCCCAGCTTCACGCATTGATGGAATTGACAGTCTTCCAACGTCACACTTCCCGCTGCCGCTCTTGTAGCCTTCGCGCCTGCCTTGTTTCCAGACGGTTGTTGTAGATGATCTTCGCCCAGCGTTAGTCGGTCGTTGAGACCGAACTTGCACTCGGGTGTGCCCGAGAGATATGCGCGCATTATGATCTGTCCGTTCACGTCGGCTCGCAGTACTGTCCCCGTCGCGGACATGAGCAGGTTGACGTCCTCGATAACATCGACGAAGGCTTCGTTCTTGCGGTACTTGATGTCGGCCCGCCGCCAGGAAAGGGCACCAGTTGCCTGCATTGTAATCTTCGAGGAGTCCTCCTGTGATATTGTCAGCTGTTGTTGTTCTGGTCGCGCTCGATGGCTCGACGTGACTTACCATTGCCCTTTCCGACTTGACACCTTCAGTTGTAATGTACATCTTCAACGTGTCTGTCTCTGTATTCTGTGGGTATCCAAAATCCAGAATCTCGTCCAGTAGCTCATAGACCAGTACGAAGTTGTTCTTCACGGCCTCCTCGTCGAACTTGCCGAAGTAAGCCTTTCCCAATCCCACCAAACGGTACAGAAACTCAAAGACGAGCGCCGCATTGGCATTGCTCTTGGTCACGGCGACCAGGTATATGTTCTCGTGTTTGACATGGCTAAAGGTGGTGGAGCCAAGGGTGAGGATGGGCGAGCGTACTTGGGCGTTGGAGATGACCTGAATGCGGAAGACATCGGCAAGTCGCGGGCGGCAGTCGTTGCGGAAGGCGCGAAAGATGAGGTTCTCACCTTTTTGGTTGAAGATGAGAATTCCAGAGAGCATGGCAGCGACGTGGAAGGGGACAGCGGTTGTCGGCAGGGAATTGGCTGGCTTCGGCGTGTTGATGCTCGGAGCTCCACCCACCACGCCGCCGCGGGATTGAGCTTGGACCATCTCGCTTGTAGTGATTAGGGGTCTCAGGGACGGCTTGCATCCTCGTCGTAATCAGGGCGCGCCATCCAAGTATCAATCGAAGTAGCGATACAAGAGCTTCAGCAGTCTCTCATCCGGAGTGCTACGATCAATCTTATCTGTATTTAACGGCTAATGAAATATCTTAAACACACGCGCGCAGAGACAGGCGCTCCCTAGATATCGAGCGCAGCCTTCGTTCACATCGATACGGATTGAGTACGACATAGACTGTAGATTCTTTGATGGACTCGGCCCCTCAAAGGCTGCTGTGGGAATGACCTTGTAGCTTTTTCAGACTGAATTTCACCCCGTTCGCTCAACCATTAGTAGTATCAGACCATGGCTTGAGCGTCGGAAGTTTCTGCGGATCCAGCTTTGCCATCAAAGCAGTGTACTCCTCCGCAGTAAAGCTTCTCTTTATCTCCTCCATTCGCATACCAATGTCATGACGCTGGTGATATAGGGCTGCGTATTCTTCCTCCAACGTGGTAAACTGATTAGACGCAGGTGTACTAGGGAACTCGCCTCGAGGCTCTGGCGTCTCTTCTGTCGACATACCTGACATTGGACTACTGCGTCGTCATTATGCCTTCCGAGCAAATGTTCTCGAAATGTTACTTACCGCATACTTGACTCTTGAGGTAATTCGACGGTAGTCGGCACCAGACCTGGCGACTTCGACATGTTCTCCGGTCGATTCGGCTTTCGAGACCTGATTTGGTCTTCGAATTGGCCTCCTGAACTTGGCTGAGGGAGGAAGAAAGCTGTGGAATCTTGCGTATATGGCTGTGTTGTAGGGAAAGGCGTTGCACCGTAGGCACCAGGCTCAGGAGCTTGGCCATACCCAGAATACGCTGGACCTGATGTGATTTGAGGACTACCAAAGAATGAATCTGAATGGGGATGTGGGGGACGGTCATCCGGTATCGTAGGACATTGAGGTTCCGTACGCCGTGGATCTTGGACAAAGTTAGGACGGTCTCGACTGTTTCGTAGGGACTCCCCCTCACTTTTGCCGCGCCCGGTCATATTTTCGTTATACTCTTCCACCTTGGGGTTGTGCGTTCTGGGGATGAGCGGCTGCGAACTGTCGCTTTCAGGGGTAGAGGGCGCCGCAGTGGTTGAGCTCGCACGGGTCTGCTCTTGGAGGGCTTTCATTGCCTTGACTGGCGTCTATAAACGAAAGAAATCATTACACGCGGCATGTTATACTTCCTCCATTTCTGAATGACTATGTATTTGTCGTTGAAATCGCTCGCTCGCTTGCATTAGCTCACGTGCGGTGAAGTCTACAGCATCGCAATATGCGAACAACTGAGGATTTGGACCACTCGATTTCTAATATTTGCGCGTATGGACTAGAAGATAATACAGCCCCCGAGGCGTGCGCTTTACATGACATCGAGCGCCTCCAATAACCCGGAGATCTCCTCTACAACTTCTTCAACGCACTGTCCAGCATCTACAGGTATCACATCCGTCTCTGATACATCAGCCGTCTCCCAGATGGCCATTTGGCTCTCCACCATATTCTCTTTCATGTAGTGACCACCTCTTCCCTTAATTCGACGCACAAGCTCTTCCGGCTCGACTTGCAAGTCCACAAACACAACCCGTATCTTTTCATCCACCAAAACCCGGAACTCATCCCGGTATGACTTCTTCAAAGCCGAACAAGAGACTAATACGCGCTCGTGGCCTTCCTTGGTCACGGTATCGAGCGCTCGCTGTCTAACGCGCGCGAGCCAAGGGGCGCGAGCGACGTCATTGAGGGGAGTACCGGCAGCCATCGATACAATGGCCTCCTCTGTGTGTAGTTCGTCGCCCTCGATACAAGGTGCTTTGAAGCGAGCGTCGATGCGTCGTACGACAGTGCTTTTCCCGCTACCACAAGGCCCGGCAACTACAATGACAACGCGTCTCGTCGGCTTCGCGACTGGAGTAGTACGTATCTGCCAGGCAGCGTTCTGGAATTGTCTGACAAACGTCCTCACAAATGCAGCATCCAGTACAGGCGCTGTGTCAAGAGAAGGCGAGAAAGATCGGGCGACTGTTGTATCGTATGTACGTGAAGGACCGAAAGTATCCTTGTCGTACTTGGATGCGAAGAAGTCAGCAAGCTTGATAGGTGGGTTCGCTACCGCATCCTGATTGGACTCGCGAAGCCTGCGCACCCACTCCTTGGGTTCTACTTCATCAAACTGAAGGCCGGCTTCTCGAAGGGCAGGAAGTAGATCGTCGGTCCAAGAGAAGGCCTTTGCGTTGGTGACATTTGCCACTACGGATCCAGCGTCGCTGAGCGAGATCTCCGTCACGGCTTTTGCGATAACGTCGACTGGTGTCCAGCTTGGGAATTCTTGCAGTCGAGGTAGTGCGCCGATAGTAAGAGCGGACTGCATCATGAGAGGTATTGCTTCAGTTGAGTTCCACACGCCATGAACAGTGTCCGCAACGATCTGACCGACGCGCAGGACTCGCGCTTTGACACCGGTCTCCTTCGCTGCCGCCAAGCACAAGTGTTCGGCAACACATTTGCTCTGGGCATATCCCATACCCTGGGCCCAGTCAAGCTCGGCTAATCGCTCAGGCGTGCGCATATCGGGGCATCGTGCGACGGTACTGACCGAAGAACAAAAGTCGAAGGATGCAGGCTTGGTCGATGATGAAGCCAGGCAAAGGTCAATCAGGTGACGCACACCAGCAATGCAGTCCTTCTCAAATGACATCAGGTTCTTGTTGAAGTTGACGCTCCATGCGCAGTGAATAACACTGGTAAGACCTGAAGCAACACGCGCATAAGTCGTATCGTCTAAGCCGAGATGGGGCTCGGACAAGTCAGAAGGTATGGCTTGTATCTTCCTGCGTCCAGAGAGCGACAGGGTGTGGTACAACTTTCGCTGTATGAGAGACTCTCGAACCCGGCGAGCTGCAGTCGTGTAGTCTTTGGCTCGTACAAGACAGTAAACTGTGTCAACATCTGAGCGGTAGAGTAGTTGTACAAGGACATGAGCACCAAGCGAACCGGTCGCGCCAGTAAGCGCAGCTTGACGTCTAGCAATGGGCTCGAAGTTGCTGTATTGAGCAATAAGGTCTTGCATTTGCGCAGTGACCGACACAACTTGTTCCTCTTGCCCGGTGCGAAGACTGTCGAGATGTGCGGCGAGAGATGCAATAGAAGGGTGGTCAAACACCACATTCTGGCCGAGCTTCTTGTCACCGATATTGACGTTCTTGAGAATCTCCGTCCGGATTTGGATCGATTGCAGCGAGTCCAGGCCTAGCGAGAAGAAATCTGTTGTACGTTCGATTTCGCCTGCCTGCGTCAACTGTTTGGCCAGGACAGTACGTAAGAAATCCTCAAGTTCCGGAACATTCAACGTTTTGAGATCTCCTTGAGCTGATGCAACGGCGTCGTATGCGTGTTCAATCTCATTGGCATATTGCTTGTAAAACTGTTGCCTTATCACACTGCCTTTGTCGGTACGCGGAAATTGACAGCCATATGGTAGGATCTGAACCATGTCCCTGGATATCCTGGCGTACGCTTCGGCCGTTCGATTCGCCGCTTCAATAACAGGCCAGATTTCATCCACGACTTTCGATTTCGGCATGCCCTCGATTGCTGGGACAACAAGAACGCCAAGGTATGGTCGACCTGAACCAAAGACAACCGTCTCAGTTACAGCTCGATGGGACCGGATCGTTCCTTCCATCATGACTGGATTGAACTTTTCGCCATTCACCAATACGATTGTATCATCGAGACGCGCAATGTATTTCCATGCCTTCTCAATCGTAGGGTGCGGTTCGAACAGGTCTTTCGTGGCGTAACTGCCATCTGGTAGGTTCGAGGCGACCTTGGCTGGCCAGCCCGGCAGGACCGTGCATTCATAGAGATTGGGTCCGCGTGATACCCATCGAAGATACGGCGATAGTTTCGGTGACTCGCGAACGTAGTTCCATACCTTGTCGTCGGCAGGTCGGAAGGATGTCATGAGTTGGCCTACTTCAGTGCTGTTCATCGTAAGCTTGGCTCGGCTGTAAGTGATCACATGAAACTTACGCCCCATAGTGGCCGACAAGATTGACGCCGCTGTTCACCAATAGGTCGCCCAGTGCGTCTGGGCAGGCACTCCCTCCGTACATGACGATCTTGAGTTGCTTCAATAGCTCGATCCCCTCATCTGTCTCAGAGAGAAGCTTGAGCGCATAAGGCACACCATAGAAGATCTCAAATCTATGCTGCCTCAATATTGTAGCCAGATAAGACTGGGTCAGGGGCAGGTCGGCGTTGTAGATATGGATGGATTTGCCGCTGTATATCGCGCGGAAGAAGTTGCAGATGCCGTGATTATGATACAGGGGAAGGGTAATGAATGCTTTCATATCCATACTAATGGCATAATTGGCGATTGCACTTCTCTGTGGCTGGTATATTGGCTTCGGTAATCCGGTAGAGCCTTTCCTCACATTAGCTCAAACACTAACAGACTGTCATATAGAACATACCACTAGAGTGTATAATGTAGATGATATTCGAGGCTTCGACTGTATGGTCGAGTTGGTAGTCAAGGCGGGTGTCTGCATGGACTTCAACAGGAAAGTTGTAAGTGTCAGGCCTGGCAATTTCGCCGATCTGCAACCCTGGTATGGCTTTCTGAGCATCGATTGCAGATTGCGCATATCGTGAATCCGCCAGCAGATAGGTGGCTCCGGTGGTGGTGATAAGAGAGTCGATAGCTGCTTGAGATATACGCGTTGAAAGGAAAAGTACCGTATGGCCGAGTTTGGTAAGCGCGAGCATCGAGACAATGTAGTCCATGTTACTTGGTCCCAGAACGGCTACTGTGGTTGGCATCTCCGCAGAA